GGGCTTCTAATAGCTTCCAATTTAAACTAGATATCGTACCTCCGGTTTGGGGGAGCAACTCCTCCTTGGGGGTTTGGAATTCCAGGGGTTGAAAAAATAACAGTTGAAACTCTCGGCTAGCTGGAGCTATTTTTCTTCGCGCGAGATGGTCCCTCTAAGAGGGAGGTCGCAGGTCCTCGGGAATAATCGCAAGTCCGTTCAACCGGAGGCTCGAGGGAGTCTCTGCAGATTTATGAACTTATCAAGACTCCTCCAGACAGCCAGGGTGTTTCAATTGAAACGCCAAATGAACGTTAGCAGGTGTGAATTTAACGTGACGTTTCTGCGAGCACCGGAAGGGGGTTATAAATTGCGCGGCACATTTACGGGATTCCAGTTCATTTTAGCGTGCTTTACATGTAGAGTTACGGGATCCCGGAATATTTCCGTGTCAGCTAAGAACGCGGAATGGTCCGGGGGGCGTTGAAAGAATTCATCGTCGATTCCTGAAATTCTCGCGAAATGCGGATTTTCGAGGGGCGAGACCGTGGACGACTCCTCGTTTGTAACGTTTCGCTTTCCTTTTTCTAATGGCGTCTCGACTGCAGGTTCTCCTTCGGGGATTTACGAGGTTACATTCTGGGCGCGATAGAAATTGATGAATCCCTCCGTTGTTCCTAATGTACTTTCGGGTTAGTAGGTGTCACCCCTTGTCGAGAGGGTGCTAGTGGGGGTGAGTATTTTGGAACGGCGTAGGTAAAGTTGAAACAGGTAGCGCCTGAACGCTCTTGGCTAACATAGCCTGTTTGTTGCTCGTTCCTGCAGTATGCTAATGCATTTTACAAGGAAACTCCGATATCTAAACAATTGCGAATCGATATTACGGGGCGAAAACCAGAACCGCAGAATGCGCGCCCATTGTGCGGGAGCTCGAGCGGCCGTCTGCATTATTCCCAAGTTTTCTCGAATTTAGAACCTCGAATCTCGACGGCGAGACAATCGGTTTATTTAAAGCCGGGATGGAATTAAGGTATGAAAAGTCGAGATCAATTTCCGGCGCCGCGAGAGCAGAGGGGCGCCATTACGGGATATTAAAGCACACATCGAGTCGGATCCGGAAGGCTCTCCTTTACCGGGAAAAGTCGACGAAACAAGAAACGAATGAAACCTCTGAATCCGATAACTCCGATTTGAACCATCAGGTGGAAAACGAAATCAGTGGTCCGTACGAATGCAGGCGCAGTTATGCACCGCATTGGAACGAGAAACAAAAAGACGCGTGATTGGATAAAGCGCATTCTTGCAGTAAATGGTTACACAAGAGTTGCACGTACCCGTGGAAACGGAGGAACGAGCGTTCCATTTTTCGTTTCCATTCGGCGACGAGGGCGGAGCGACCTCGAGGCGATACCATTTTCGCTGGAGTCGCTCTTTACGCCTAACCACTTTTTGCGCCCTGCCAGAAAAAACGCCTCGGAGGTCTCGCTAAGTATTAACCGAGTATTCCGCGAATAAACGAGTCTTAACCAGGAACTCCTTGAAACTCTTTGCGCGTCGAGAACGCGTCCGAAAACAGGAACTTCTAACGAGACGTTAACATCCTGACAGGTGCTTTTCACCTCCTCGAGGTAGAGTTTCGCGAGGGGCCCGTTAAACGTCGGATAGGCATCCTCGCGTGCGCTTTTAATTAAAATAAGTTTTTGCCCGGTAACTCATGACTTAATAGTGGCAAATAGAGTGCAAAGGAATTCTGGCACTCGAGGAGGGCGTTGGCGCTCCAGGACTTGGAAACTCTGTCCTGCGGTGGATCCGTTGTGTGTCGGACAGGTTCCCTCGCGTGCTGCTACGTAATTAGTGTTTGGTTAGTTTTCAATGAGGATTTGCTGCCTCGAACAACCTTTATATGCCTAGTCTGTCGGCTGCCCGCCCACTTACCGAGAACCCTGGAAGTTAGACTGGCGGAATAATTCGGAGGCCTCGATGATCGAAGCGGAACTTTGTCCGCGTGTTGCTTGTTTCGTACCTATGAATTTGTGTAGCATCGTCTGGCAGGAATTTGTACCCTTGTTATAATTGGGGCTCGACGGAAGCTCGCTACTCGAGATAGCAGAAAATTTGCCGGCAACAGAAAATCTCCCTCTCGATGCAGCCCTGCAAATTGTGCATTTTTAACCTCGCTAATAACATCCATCCCGTGCATACCTTTGCACTCGATACGACGATCCGTCTTCGGTGTAGTCGATTTAATGGTCCCTTGCATCAAGTACACGAAAGCTCGGCAGGTGGTAGCCAATTTGGTGGACGCACAACGGTAAATAAATGTTTTCGCATTTGCTCGGTTGACATGCGAGCCCCTGAATAATGGCTACTATTCCTGCGACGGTGCACTGCGAAAATGCACTGCCAGGCGCAGGTAAAACGCGCTAAGTTATTCATGTAATTCCTGCAACCTTTCTCCAGGCGTCGGGTACATTGCACTTCCAAAGACGCTTTGCACCCTCTCGAATGACTTCTATTAACCGTACAATATTGAAACACCATGAAAATAAAATTCATCGTCGAAATCCCTCTGGATGGTTCTCGAATTACAGGATTTTTTGTCACTTTTCGGCAATACTTCCTCGATTCTCGACCCCTTCTCTCCATTCTTGCAGGGACGGAGACTATTTGCATCCGCGGGATTGCATGGGGAAAGTTTGCAAAAGTTGCGCGCTAATGTGCACACTATTTATCCAAGGGCTTGGCAATCGGCATACCAAAGCGCGGGAAGTTCCTCGAATGGCCGACATGAATTCACGGGGCATTCAAAGAGTCTTACTTTTCTTTGTTAAAGCGCCTCGCGTATCCTAGGAGGACTTGCCACTTACTCGAGAGTGCAGGTAACTCGATTTGCGTGATCAATCGAGTTAAGTGCAAGCGCTCCTCTTCATCCGACCGAGTGATTCGTATCGTTATGTAACGCCGCGACGACTGTGCGTTCTGCTTGCGGTGGAAATTATTACGAGCCATAGTGAAACGAGAGTATGAGAATATTCCCATTAGATTACACGGTCCCCGTGGTTGCGTAACCGTGCGATTACCAAAGTGCCACAAGGGGGTTCGGACGATGGCTCTTCCTCTTCGTCGTCGACTCGGAGTTGCAAGAACGGGATCGTCAAACGATCCCCTGACCGAGTACCTTGCAAGGTGTACATACATATACACGGCGTAAAGTCATTAAGGAGTTTTGCGCAATCGTTACATGATTCCTCTGGAAGATCCACTTAGGAGCGACGGGGTATTCACTCAGGAAATCCTGGATTTTAATACTCGAGATTACATGAAAACAGCTGGAAATCGCTCGAAATCTGGAAATCGTCAAAATACTGTCATACATTTTAAGGCTGAATGCCACTTGTTACCGAATCGCATTGTTGCTTATCATAAGAAATCAAAGACAATCGGTTCGAGATACGTCATGAGCACTCAAACGTTTCACGTGCGTTTCAACTTCCGATTAATCCGGACGATGGCTCTTTCTCTTCATTGTCAGCTTGGAGTTGTAAGAACAGGTTCGTCAAAGAATCCCCTGGTCACCTTGCAAACTATATGTACATATAAATACACAGCGCAGTCGTTGCATAATTTCTCATGGAGATCCACCTAGGAGTCCAGACCCTTCAGCTCGGGATACGATCCGGGCGCATTAACGCGTTTCAACTTCCGATTAATCGGAATACCCAAGAGTCGATGCCGAGCCCTAGGAGCGGAACTACCGCGAATGGCCGAGGGAGAGCGTAACCGTAGTCATAGCAGTAGCCATAAAAGAGCATTCCCAGGTCCGTCCTGAGTAGGACGAACGGACCCGGAACGAGTAGGCGAAGCGGGAGTGGTGCACTTCACTGCGCCACTGCAGAATATGGCGGAGGACAAATTCCCTGCAGCTGCGTCGCGGAATATCCTCAATTATGGCCTTCTATTTCGAGCATTTCCTTGCCCGAAGTCCTCCCGTTTCATCGCCCCAGCTTGAGACAACCGGGCGGTAGACTCAACTATAAAGCGATCCTCGCTGCATTATAAATCAACAAGTGGAACTCCGATATTTCACGCCGATGGGGACGCCTCGACGAGACCCTCCCCCTGCGAGTTTCCACCCCACAGACCGGTGCTTTTTCGGGGAGGAGTCCTTTGCTAGGAGATTCTTTGCGCCGTTTCCATCGGAGCATCGATTTCCTGCATTTCCTCTATTTACAGGACGAAGCGTGGGATACGGCAAAGAAACTGCCCCAAGGGTCGGCAGGACCCTCATCGAGGTCTACCCTGTCTCCTACAATGTCGCTTTTTAACCCAATTTTCACCTAAGTTGTCCCCGCGAATTTGTCCGGACCGAACGAGATTACCTCGCGCAGACGGGTGCCATTCCATCTCTGGGGGGAATTTCACTTTTATGGCTACCTAGGGCCGAGTTCTAAGCTGGTTCATTATGTTCGCGGCATAGCTCAGCATAGCCAATGAACGTGTAAGCAATGCGTGAGCCGTGCAATTGACTGCGCCGCTGCGGGATATGGTGGCGGACGAATTTCCACCAGCTGTGTCGACAAATATATCCTCAATTATGGCGTTCAATTTCCAGGATTTCCTTTCCGTGAAATTATACCAGTCCGTTGCCGTCGCGATATAAACGAGGAGTGATCAGCAACCGTTATTCATCCACAAGATGGATTCATATGACAGGAGACGCGCTTAAAGTCGTGCAGATCAACCCGAATGTTGGAAAAACGACGCGGAATTAATTTCCCCACAGGATGTCCCAAGCCCTCCTCTCGTTACTCGAAGACATTTCAGATGAGCACACGTGATGACACGTACCATATTTTATTACGTTAGCAATAATAGTCTTACATAACTCGCACAATTATTCACGTCCGTGAGAGTATTCGTAGTCGGCGAGGGATTATCACATCTCCGAAGCGACCGGCAGATCCCGCGTCCTTAACAACCGTCTCGTCACCATTTATCGGGATTTCATCCAAGCGGGCATACGTTTAATAATTAAAAGTAGGAATGCGGGGAATGGCACCGCAAGCAACGACACGGCCGGTGCGGAAACGTGCCAATTTCTCTCGGTGCTCTCTCGCGAGTGTCGGGTCGAGGATCGCGTGTACCACCGATCGATTTCTCACGCCCCTGCAAATCCAAACGGCGTGTCCGATATCGAAATGACGGGGAATGCGTGAAATAGCCGACGAAACGATCAGGCTCCGATGCGAGGATAAAGTCGAAAGTTCCGTGCAGATGAGCCGGCAAAAAGTGACATAAATATTCCATCGAAGGGAGGGGGGCAAAAACCCGAGTGCACTTTCCTCGGGGGGTCTCCGTGCGCTATATACCTATTTGCGGTGTACTAAGCTCTTGGGAAGATGTATGCGATCGAAAAACTCGGTTTCCTGCCGGGATCTGGCCCCTGACTTCCGCAGGGTGTAACGTATTCATCGTCTTCTAGGATGCATATGCTTACGGATATGTTACGTGCGCGGGTTTTGACAACTTATGAATATGCCTGTATACGTGGTGTGAGATGTACGGTGGATATATTTCCGTTGGAGTTCCTTCGGTCGAAGAAAGATCGCCGAGGCGCGTAGAGAGGAGACGCGCCTTTCGATCTGGTCTCGATCATTTGCCGTAACCCCCGCTCGGGGGTAGGTATTGATTGTTGGCTCCTCCACCATTTCCACCCCCGAAGATACCACCTTCGACTCCTCCTGCAGGTCCTCCGAAGTCGTTACCACCTGCCAACACCATGGAATCTCGTTTAGGTGCGATGGTACCACGCAAGGGTAGCCGCGTTTATTTTCTTTAGGGGTGAACACTCCAACCGATGTCGCGTCCTTCTGGCGCTGACGAGTCTTTCGCATAATTCGAGAAAAGACAAGAACAAGGAATTTTTTCCGGCTTTAATCGGCGACCGGTTCGCGATAAAAATTCACTCAACCTGGATGTATCAGGAATTAATTACCCCATGAATAACGAACGATCCCCTCGGTTGACACGATGCGATATGAATTACTCGCTGTTTCGGCCGACGCGAAACGGCATTTGGAATTTCGATTTAAATAGAATTTATACTAAATGCCCATTTCCGATTCAAATTAAAAGAAACTCCGAGCGGCGATGGTTTACGAAATTACGGTGCACGCGCGTTTCCCCCGATTCGGTAAAAGTTGTTTCATGTTTCCTGCGCCTCGATGTGGAGATATTTTTAATTTTAATTAAAATAGAGGGGGTTGCATAACGGATTCGTTTACATTGCGTCCTTCCGTCCATCCGAAAGCTCGTATCATGATTTTCGGCATGTAAATTATTTAATGTACTTTAGGCGCGATTTAATAAGGCTATATGTTTGTAATTATCGGTACACAAATAGCTTGCCAAAAATCAGGGAAATAATTTACCGAAACTCGGCTCCATCGCGGGCCAATAATATCCCGATCGCTGTCGGGAGATTTTTGGCAGTCATCGACGTTCGCTTCCGAATTGGACATTTTGCAATTAGGAAAAATTTTGTAGACAGCAGAAACTCGAATTAATCGCGTTGAGCTAGTATCGAATCTCAACACGGGTACCAACCAACAAACTACGAGTTTTCGGACTCTAGATGGTAACCGAGTCTCGTTAATAACCGAAATACCTGTAATTACCGTGATACGATATTTACAGAATTTTCGATAAGTATCGAACTTCGATAGTTACGGGACTTCATTATATCGAAATTTACAGATACTGATATTGGACGTCCAGTATCGACTGCGCCCAACTTATTACAGGGGATCTGTATTTGCGGCTAAATGAAGCGTAATGGACTTCTCGTTCGACTTCAAAGCAATTGATACCGCATAGATGCGTGCAAAAAGCGAGGATTATATAAACGGAGGCTTAGAAAAATATCGAGAGTCTCATAAGCGATTTCAATTTTGTAGACTTTCGCCAATAAGTCCGAAAAGTATGTACACGACTCCACCAGATGAAAATCGATATTAATTTCTAAATCAGAGAACGAGTCAAATTTTCGATGCGATCAATCGTAAGTAAAATCGTAAGAATTACCCGAATATCCTGGATATCCTCCAGCAAATCCTCTTTGGTATCCACCAGGTCCTCCTCCACCTCGATATCCGGCAGTCTCCGGAAAGACGGCCTGTCCCTCGTACTGAACATCCGCGTTGTATCCGGCAACGTCATCAGCGGTGTATCTGACAATTTGCGTCCTCGAATCCGGCAACAACACTCTGTACTCCCCTCGAACGGAGTTTCCATCGCTGCTCTCTTGCTGGGCGTAATCGTTTCCGCTAGGAAAATCGCGTACCTCGTATTGGAAGCTGTACGGTTGGGGCTGGAAAAAACGTCGGATTGATTTATCGGACATATCTCCTTATCGAGTAGCAAGCCAAACGAGTCTTTATCGGATATTCCGAGTGGATGAGTTCAAGTTTGCTCTCGACCGTCAAGATGGATGCTCTTCCGGGGCGCGAGTAAAGAAGAACGGAGCCGACCGACCGCGACCTACGGCACCAAGGGGAACACGTGCCAAACGGGGTTCCTCCTCCCCTCGTTCCTTTTAATCCTGAGAAACCGTGGGAAAATCTGCCCCCAGTTTGGCTCTTCCGTCGGCTGAAAGACGAACCGCGCGTCTCTCCAATTGGCGGGGTGGATCGAGATGGAAAACTCGACCGCGCGTCGCGATACCCCTCGTAGGAAAATACCTTCCCAGGGCATAGAGCGTCCAAGACTCGGTCTGAAACGTTGATGCATATTTCATCAGGTCGCCCTACCTGCACAGTGTCGTCTTACTCGCACGCGCGAGAAAGGTGCGGCAAAGGTGCTCCGGTTTCACCCTGGCGTCTCTTCCGCCACGTCTAGTCGGGCGGACCGGGCTTTTCAGAAAAGGGGAAAAAAAAAATGGAAAAATTCGAGGGAATCAAGAAAGAAACGGAGCATTCGGAACGGCCCTTCTATTGGCACCTTTGATCTTCCTTCGACGCGAAAAGTCGAGCCTGGAATGGCCCGTGAATATTACCTCGGAGCCAAGCTGGATTTATGGCTCCGTGCGCTCCTCTCCCAGGAGAATTTCGACTGCCCCTCGCGGTGTCTTAGAAAGAGCCATGTATCATCCGAAGTGTCTTTTTTTTTTTCCCGCTTCCGTCGAGGTATCGAAATTTCCCGCGATCGAGCGCGATCGTTACCGTATTTCATCTGCCCTCGGGCTTTCTTCCGGTCCCAGTCGTCCACTCGAGGTATTTCATCGGCGTGCCCTAAGCTCGTCGTCTCCCCTTTCTTACAGGAACGCGAAGGAGCAAAGGGTGCTCCGATTTCCTCCCGAAGCTTCTGCCCTTAGTCGCGTAGGTCAGGATTTTCCGGGAAAGAAAACGTTCGAAAGGAACGGGCGACCCGGAATATTCTATTGCTACCTTTGAGCGTTTTTCTCCAAGGAGAACCGGGAGGGATCCGGACTCCTGGGGAAATATTGAGATTTCCCCTAGTGATCCAAAATTCCCCCTCGTCGTTCTTCACCGATTCGTACCTTCGTACGTACCCAGAGAAAAAAAAAAAAAATTCAACGAACCAAAGGAATATTTCTTGGCACGGTAGCAAATCAATACTTTTGAGATAAATATTGAGATTTCCCCAAAGATCCAAAATTCCGTCGTTCTTTACCGATTCCTACATACCCTTAGAAAAAAGAATTCAACGGACCAAAGGAATATTTCCTCGGAACATTACCAAAATCAATATTTCGCTAATTCGAAGAATTTGGCCCAAACTCTAATAAATTGTCATAATTCCGAGGAAACGAGGCATCCAATTTATTCCAGGTTACTTCGGACAAATAATTATTCTTCGAATTAATAAAATGTTTCTTTGGGACCATTCAAAGAAACGTTTCTCTGGCTTAGTGACATTTTTTCCTCAGTGAATGATTTTACTCGGCTCTGCTGCACCTCGGCATTAATTCTCTCTCGTCGGCCCGGCTGATTGATACATATTGATGTCTATTGATATTTGGTAAATGCTTCGGCATCGTGAATCGTATGGCTCGCGGCGACGTTCAGATCGCACGTCATATTTAAACAATTTGAACAATTGCATCCTGCATGCGGGTCTACTCCATTCGGAGGGTTGCAGGATGCAAAAGGCAATTCAGTTGGTGCACCTAGCGATAGTGCCGATGTGTCAGGGAGGTACGTTTTGATTCGATTGATACCGCGTATCTGATGTGCGGAATCTCGTTTAGTTCGATGCCACCTAACGAATCCTAGATTGTTCCCGGAGATATGCACGCCGACGTACTCAGTTGTCGTCTATTTTTCGAACATGAAAGGGAAAGTTCAGGAATTCACCGTAACGTGATAATCAACGAGAGCAATTTTTTCGAACCGACACGATTTACTGCTTCGGACGTGCTGCCAAGCACGCAAATTTTCGACTTTACACGTTTAATGAGCGTTAACTGGTCAAAGTCCAGTTGTCAAAATTTAACGCAATACCAGGGCTTGTAATTCAATTATTGCGGCTGAAATAGCAGCCAGAAATGTAAAGCGTATTCTTTGCCGGAGAAATCGGATCGCGATAGCGATCGCGGAGTAGTAATTGAATTTAATAAAATCCAACCGAATACGCAATGCGATCGAATTGGAATCGAGAAACTATTTTTACGCCTTGCGGAAGACATCCGTCTTCAGGAATAAATGTTGCAATCGAGGGATTACTAAACGAATTCCCGTTCTTTCCGCTCCCTTTGCGAATGAATATCCCTTAACTTAATTTTTCTTCTCGTTTAAACTGGCCGCTATCTTTGATCGAGTTTCCCAGAGATAGAGCCTCATCTTCGCCGCGAGACGAAGCCACGTTATGTCATTTTGGGAGTTACTTATAATTTCTAATTACCGAGCTAAATGGAGCTTCAAAGGAAGTCCCGAAGTAGCATTAACATAATCCAGAAAGCATTGGGGTACTTTGCGATGGGTACAGAATTCCGGTACGATCCTCGAGTAAGAGTGGACTGTAATACTGAGTAATTCGGAATAAGAGCAGAAAAGTGTCCGGACTTGGAGTAGAGGAATTCACTCGAAGGAAGTAGAAACTTCCTTCCTGATAATTGAGATGCAAGTCCCGTTCGAGGTAAAGTCTTAATATCTCAAAGTGGAATTCCTCGATTACGAGTCCTAATTCAGACGGCCGGGTCCGTCGAGGCAATAATCCAGAAGTCGAGGACATTCTTACCCTGCCGTAATCTCCGTTGAAAGGTCCAAAGTTGTTCCCTGGAGCGCCTGCGAATCCTGCTCCCCCGAATCCTGGAGCACCTCCGAAACCAGGAGATCCATATGCCGAAGAAGGTCTGCCCCCGTCGAACCTTCCACCTCCACCTCCAGCGACCGGCTCGGCGGGGAATCCACCTCCACCAGGAACTCCGGCGAGTCTGCCTCTGCCAAAACCGCCACCACCGAATCCTCCAGAGGGCCGGTTGTACCGGTACCCTCCGTTTCCACCGTCGGCACCTCCACCGGGGAGAAGTCCACCCAGGACGCCACTTCCGATGCACGAGAGCACCGCGAACAACGCCACGATCTGTTGGACGACAAGAAACACGATTAAGTCGTTTGGAACGCACCTTGGCACTTTGAAAAAAAATATATATATAACAGGAAGAGAGGAAATTAGTAAAGCTCCCCAGGAATTCTTTAGACGGGAGCGGGGTGAATCCTTCGAAGGATTTACCGCCAACCGGGGCCATGCGTCTCCTGCAGGAGTCGAATAACGAATTTGAACGTGCAGTCGTATAACGGATCGAGCCGGCCCGATTAATGGCGATGTCACCCAGTCGAAAAGCGCAAACCTCCTGTTACGAAACAGAGCACAACCGTCGTCGGTAACGACGCGCGTCTGCGTTCCCGGATCGAGGACGACTCATTAATCAGCTAATTCGGCTGCAAACTCCGCCGCCGATCCCTCTAACTCGCTGATTTACGGCCGCAGAGCCGCCGTAAAACCTGCGATCTCGAACTTTAAAACGGAACGGAAGTGTCATCCATAACCCCGCACGCCAACAACGGCTCCGCGAAACATTGCCCGATCAGGAAATTTCCGCATAAAGCTCGGCGTCGATCGAGCCGCTCGACTTTCCCGACCATCGAGCGATATTTCGTAGTCGCGCAGACTTCCGCGGTAATTTGCGAATTCGCGAATTTTCGGATTTACGAATCCGCGATCGGCCCGAGTTCCGCGCGGTCCGGAGTAAATAAGCGCGATGTCAGGGGGAGGACTTACGAGGGGAATAAAATTGCGGGGAATCTCGCGGAATCGCCGCGTCTCGGTTAAATCCGATCCCCAAGATGGCGGCGGCCTATTTAACGGACTTGGCGGAGTTTAAGTCGGTTATCTCGCGGTTAAACCGACGGGGAAGTGATTCAATGGTCGGACTTCGCAGGTGGGAAGCTGTTTGCGCAACCGCCGACTTTGGGAAAACTTTTTCCGCGATTCTGGACTCTATGATCGGGGAAAATTTCCGCGGACTTTCGCCAACTTCGAATTAGCTGCCTCGGGATTTGTTTCTATCGGCCGTGGAAACGTAACTCGAGGCTCGTCGTTGATGGCGAGCTCGTGGCGGGAGCGAGCCATCGGGGGGGATTTATTTTCCATCGGGAGGAATCCCGGGAAAGTGGCGATCGACGCCCGATTCGAATGCGAACGGACTTTGTCGAGATGCGAATAAAAGGCGACGCCGATCGACATGGTCGGCGACACCGAGAATGCGTGGGTGATCGGACGATCGGCGATCCTGAAGTTGGGGTGGATTGGTTAAACCGAACGGGTTAGACGGCGGTACCCACCTCGAGATTAGTCATATTGCTGTTCGACCGAAGAGTCCAAGTGAACTGAGAAGATGATCCTCTGGCGGGCTTATATATTCTGCCGATTCTTTGTTACAGTTTATTTGCGATGTGATGCGTCGGTGTGCTCGTCGGTACGTCGAGATGATGGGGCTGCCTGTGGGTGTTGCGCGAGACGCAAATCTTCCCTTCACTCCGAGATTCATCTCAGGAAGGAGCCTCTTTGATAATTATCGTTACACGTATCGATATTAATTGTAAACGCGCGCACGTCCGCAAAGACGAGCACGTGCACTGCTGCGAAAGGGGCTTTGCAAATATTTCGTAAACGAATGTTTGCCTCGCTCGATCGGGACCGCTCAAATTTCCCTTAAGCCTGAGATTCGTTGGGCATCTCCCAAAAACATAATCCAAGCTTTTCAAACCCTGTATATTATACGTTTTTAGGACGTTACGCCACGAGAGTCAACCTGCAATTATTCTGTTGCACGGGAACGAAGAAACGGGCCCTCGGATTCCGTCCTATAATTCCTGCTGTATACAAAATACACGGGGCTGTTTACTTTGCCGCATTTTTCTTTGGACCGCCGGCTGTTTTCTTCGGAACCACTTTCTCCGAGTTGGAAGATTTAAGAGCGAGATTGTGCTCGAAGTTGTTTCTGCAGTACTCCATGCGTAGACGTAAGCATTATTTAGGCATGACGGACCTGGACACGCGATCGCGTCATAGACATTATCCACTGTAAAAAGTGGCCGTGTGTGCACGGAATACCTATACGACTGCGCGGGTTTACATAGGTGCATGTATACCGGTAATATTTCAGATTGACTGGGAAGAAGATTGCGAGTGAATGAGGTGGTAAAATCAATTTTACGGTGTACTCTTTACCCGCGTGCATTCCTTGCCATTTTCGAGTTGCGGAATCGACGAGTCCTCGAAATTTACAGATCGATCCGGTTTAACTACGCCCCGATTTAGTTGTCGCGTTTATACGTCTCGTTAAACTGTCGTTTAGTCCTTGAAGTGCATCATTTCGGAGAATCATCGAATTTCGTAAGGTTTCGTGAGGTTTCGTAAGAGCATCGAAATCTGGATTAATCGTGCAAAGTCATTTGCACGGGGCAGTCTAATGTAACTGGGTCATGGTTCGATAGGTCATACCTTTGTTACGGTCCGCTATGTATAGACAAAGTGAATGGAATGGCTGTAATTACGTTGTGCCATTGAAAATGAGTGCGCTTTCCGCGTTGCTCTTTATTAAATGGCGACTTTAAGTGTCCGTCCAAAGCTGGAATTCAAATAACAGGGATTAATGCGCATGACTATTGACTTTTACTAGAAGCTGCAGGTACGAAAATCATTCGACGTCAATAGGAAAGCCGTAATTAGCACCTCTCATCCGTCGATTAATTCTCGAAGCTCTTCGACCCCTTCGAATACATCTTCGCGTTGACCATCGATATCTCGACGGCGCCTAAAAGTCATCCTGTTGGTTTTTGCATTTCACTCTCAGAGGAGCAAACTAAAATGGCAGCTCGCTAGTTGCAACTAGCCAACTCGAAACGATACGCGCGACCCGGTGGAACTACTCCAATTCGAGTTATACGAACTAACATATTTCGACACGAGAGAGCACCCAAGGACTGTGTCGAATTTCCAGGAGAGGACGTCATAGCCGAAATGGAAATTCGCCGGATCTTCCGGTCCAGTCGGTGGACAGCTCTGCAAAAATCAGACATCATCGAGCATCGCTATCTCTCTCAGTTTCCGTACTTACATATCCGAGTCTCAAAGGGATTAGGAGATAAAAGCTCGGACGCGATTTCGTATTAACCACGCATTTCATTACCGAATGAATAGACCCGATTGCCCGTGGAGGGGGGCGCCGTGAAACGAGGACTAATTATTCGCAACGTCGGGTCCCGAGTGCAACTCTAATAAATATTCCTATACCTACGCATTAGTCGGCCATTAGACGCGATTTTAATATAGAGCTCGGCTGATAATTGAAGAGAGACGGCATTACATAACGCGGCCGATCCGCGAGAGGTCGAGATGGATTTGCGCATCTATCAAGTGAATTACCGCAAGACGTGTTTATGTAAAAGCGCTCGCGCAATGCGGTAACAATACGAGAGGGAAACATGAACTACGCCTAGCGAAGCAACCGAGGATTAATTTTGGCACGAAGGATTCTATGTAACCGAAACGAGTATTTTTAACGGGTAGAAAGATTCGGGAAAAAGTGGATACCGGGTACTCGGTCACGAGTAATTCCGCTCATTTCCACGTGTCAAGAGACATCTGTCCAATTGTCTCTAGCCGAGCGAACGGGGATTCTAACGGAGTAGGCCAGTGATAGGCCAGTTTGGGTTAATCGAGCGTAGCTGGCCAATCGTCGATCGATTTGTCACTCGGCTTCTCTCGTTCCAGGGTTATCGACTCGAGGTGAGAGGGACATCGAGGGTGCCACTTACCGGCGTGAAATTTTCCCGAAAGGAGTCGCCTGGTCGAAACGTTCTTTCGGAATAACGACGCGGTCGGTATAACGAGATGGAATTTGATTTGGGAAGTGACGAGGGTCTGCGTTCGGTCGGCTATCCCGAAGGAAATCCGCGACTCGACGTGCATCTTTCGCTTCCCGTGGGTTTCGCAAAACCGCTCGCAAATCTCGGAGTATCCCTCGGAGGCCGCTTACCGGTCGTGCACGTCAGGTGTATTCCCCGGGCTTATGAATTCGGTTTCTCTCCACGTAACTCCAGGCATTACGTCAAATTATAGATCGATCGGAATCAGTATGCTATTCATAATCGTTCCGAGTGCAGATATATGGGAGTCGTGATGGCAAGCATCTCACGTAGACGCGAGTATCGATTGGTTACGATACTCTAATATTCCGATCCGCTTCTCGAATAATTTACAGTCTCCAGATACCTTGCCAATTAGCTTGGACTCACACTAATGAACTGCGGAGCACCTAATTGTAATTAGTCTGGCGTAACTCATTGCAAGGTAGGACGAGGGAGATCGTGCCACCCTATCGGTAAGCTAGGACATTCCGAACGAATTCGACACCCACTCGCCTCTTACCTTTTCTACGCGCGTTGCTTTTCTCTCTCGTATACTCAATGAAATACGTCCTGCGAAATTCTGCCAGCTGAAGGGTACACGGTAAAACCTCAGCGGGCAGTAAAACCGGAACTATGGATCCCCGAGACATTTTACGACATCACCCGACGGGCCGTCCCTCTTTCTCTCTCCCTTTCTCCCCCTCTTTTTTCCTCCTCCTCTCTCCCTCACTCCGAAAGGATGCGCGGGATTTCTTTTTTTTTTTTTTCACGCGGAAAGCGCCGCTCCTCGTGTTTTGCGCGTCAGGGATCCTTCTGAATTTTCCCATCGAGTGCTCGTTTCGCGACCCTGGGAACTTTCATTGGAAGCGTTTATTTAGCACGGGGGTACCGGCGAGGACGAATGGAAATCGCCCGCGAAAATTGTCCCCGCCATGGGGAAATCGGGCACCTCCGGCCTGATATTGGCCAGCTGTAGCTTCGGTAAAAAGGGAGGAATCAAATCAGCACCCGTTTCGCTGGAGCCGGGTGACCTGCAAAAAAAAATCCATCGAGATGAATCGATTTAATTCTCGCCGCTAAAATAAGACCAGCCAACCACGCATAGGTCGTCGGGAACCATGGGGCTGATATCGATCGGACGCCTCCAGAATTCTTATTTTCGAGCAGGGCGTATTTTGAGTACCACTTTCTCCAGCAATTTTCCTCTCCTGTCTCGAGGAAAACCGTTGTAAAATCTGGGTCGAGCGCCTGGTTCATTATTTTCGAGAGCTGGCAGAAGTGACGAAGCGACCTCCTAAGGATTTCTCCAGGATTTGACCAATTGTGCGCTTATACCGTGCCTAATACTCGCCATTTTCGCAGTGACCGTTTACATGCTGTTTACTCGATAAAGGAAACCGTGTATCGGTTCTTCGAGTTCCTTTCCTGTACCAGTTGATATGTCGTCTCGGATAAGCTCATCCGTTGTTTCCACGTGCCAGATTTAGTTACCGATCGTCTATTTTACCATGGTATTATGTACCCCATTACCCATTATGTTGGCCAGAGTGAAATATTGATCCCTTCGCCCAGTCCTGGCCATGCCCACAACGGGGTGGAAGCGGAGAACGGTTTAAAATGTAATTTAACAAATATGATAAGGTCGTTGCTCTAGAACACCCGAGACTGTAAATGACTGCCGGTTGTTCTATGCGTTTCTAAAGAGAAGATTGGATTTCTATGGGAGACGTCGATTCTAGAGCTGAACCCAATCCAGGAAGGCATCCGTTGTAGAACCGTTCAACATACGTCGTACTTGATATCAGATTCCCTTCCTAATGGCCATTAATTGAGTCATTGGACTAGGAATGGTCTCGGAGAGCTGCAGTGAAATTGTTTACATACCATCGGCGTTTGCATTTCGCGATAAGCAGCCGTCTTGGCATCGAGGGCTATTTAACTCGCGATAGACCTAATCGGCGATGGATTCTGCTTATCAACGATGATCCTTAAGTTGGCCAGCCCGAAAATATTAGCTGGCTCTCGACATCTCTATCGGAATTCCGTAGTCGCCCCTTAACTCTGAAACTCTTGAAACCTCCGGAAACCGGAAACTATCTCGCGAGAGTTTCAAACTTCCCTCGAAGTCTGGTCAAGAGAAGTTCCAATAGAATAATCAATTAAATTAGTATCGAGGCCGTCAAAATCCGTATTAATTAGAGCGGGGCAAATTCACGCCGCATTCGTCAGCCGTGTCGTGATTCGAATCGGTGGGATTTATCCGAAAGGAGCTCTGCCCGGTTTTCGATCATCCTGGTGATAATATTTGGACATTTTCAAATCTGGAGTGTGGCATTTGCAGCCGCAACTTCCCGCTCGTAACTCCCGCCGTGATTACGGATAAACGTACTCGTCCTGACTACTTTTGACGATTCCCTGGTGATGCAAATACTCAAACCCATTAACGTCCAGGTAGATACGTTATGGAGGTGTACGAGCTGTTTCTTCACCGTTGACTGAGACGAACCGTAT